GACGAATTTTCCCAATTCATGCGTCAACAACTTTACAGCGCCCGCCAAAATTCGTCTGCATCTGACAGACCGCCGGTAGTGCTGCACAATTCCGGCTCCTTACCTACCTATACTTAATATAACTATCCACACGACACACGTTGGAGACCTCGCGAACCGTAATGTCTAACAGTCATGCCCGTTCTAACAAAACAAAGGCGCCTCACGTCTCTCCTCAATAGACCTGCCTTCGTGCGAACCTCTACAGTACGGACTAGTTCGTCAATGTCTACTTCACATTTCGTAACTCGGCCCAGGGGCCACTGGTCTCTAGTCAGTCCGTCGGATACAACGAGAACAACGTCACCCACTGGTTCTTCGGTTGTATAGTGGTGAGTATCTCCACCTGTCACGTGGAAGGTCCGGGTTCGAGTCCCGGCCGGGGAGCCTTTTGGACTGATTCTATGATTGTCCTCTACTATATACACAATATGTCAATAGATCCACACGCAGTCTTAAGAGTTTGCAGTTTTTGTGTCGATACTGACGTCCCGTATTCACCATTGCCGTTGGCGTTTGTGACTGATGAATGGTTGGGGATTAATTTGGGTTTTGGTTGACTGCCTATAACCGACACATAGGTAGAACAAGCTCTACGTAGGATGTTGAAAAAATGTCTTGTAAACCGCAAACTAAATTGAGCGGTCGTATTTTTAGTGAACCCACTTGTGGTATTGAACATAAGACAAGGCCCATTGCTTAGTGCTACAAGATACTTCACACGGTTTAGAGTGATCAGTTGTTAAACAAGGAGGAGAATTGAGTGCACTACTATCAGCAATCTCGACAATCAATTGGCTTATCGCGGGTTCAGATGAGAAAGACAAACGAAGGGGGGTCACTCTATAAATAAATAAAAATTCCTGAAGTTTATGCCGAACTAAGATCTACCCAAAGCCGCGTTCATTCAATCGGAATCACCAGCCAGTAAAAGTCAAATCGATATTAATACCAGCTGGGTGTTCCGAGAACCAGTAAAAAAGTACTACGGGATATAGGAAACGGGAAAACCGGCGGTATGATAAACGAGTCTAGCCGATCGAAGATGGAGAGAAGGATGGTAGGACAATTGACGGAATTACTTTGAAAGTACAGTAGAAAGCGCCTCAAAAAGGTTGCGGAGTAACAGACGCCCGATTCCGTGAAGGAATTGATGGACTAAACCTGCTACCACCAAGCGTTCAGTGATCTATGAATGCTGATCCGTGAGACTTGTGACTATATTGAGCAGATTTTCCGGATACTGGTTAATGATTGTCGATAAATAAATTTTACGATATATCCCCTCGACCGGCGTGGACGAATCAGTAGGGACGGATTGAAATTCCGGACAGGCCCTCGTCAGCTGGGTTCAATGCACATTCCGCGTGCAATCAAGGTCGAAGTTGGACAGTCCTTTAAGTTCCCGGTCGCTCATTTCACAGGATTTAACCAGCAGAATCAGTCTTGCGGCTTGCATGCTCGAGGTCTCTGTGAGTCGGGATTGTCCAAAATATGGAATTGCCACATTATTTGAAGGGCCTGTGAGACATTCTTCAGTAACACTGCGCCTCACGTCATTGATGTATCGTGAAGTCGTTCTCTCTTTAAACAGGAGTGATTCCAATTTCGCATAGAAATAATTGGGAATCTCCGATGAAACGAATGAAATGTGAAGTATTAATGAAATGGTTCAAGTGATAATTTTAAGTGATGTATGATAAACAGCATATTATGCGGATAATCCCACATCATCTGGAAACCTGATGTTTAAACTGCCCACAACGGATAAACTAGTCGTGCGCAGAACCACCATGCCCGTGAGCGATATAAGCAAAGGGAAGAAACAGGATTATAACTCACATATTATATATATGCCCATTCGTAATAACCCATCCACCCTGGTAAGTCCATCAGGCTTAGTTATTGGTATCCGATATTGACAGTGAGATTGACTAGCATACAAAATTTCTCCAAAGAAAACTGGAAAAAATACTGCCCACGTTTACCTCACATAAGTGCATTGAAACCTCAATTCATATCTCGTGCTGTCTTCCCTGCCTCAAACCCTACTTGTTAACCACTATTAACCGTTTTGTGCTATGAAATATAGATTCTAGCTTAAACATTGACCCTATAAAACAAACTAATGTCAAAACTTCGTACGGAATTTTGATTATCACGTGATAATCATTCTAGAAGTAGCTGCTGGTTACCCAATCATCGTGGAATACTATAACAATTGCCTGCCAATATTATATACTTTATTAAAAAACACAAAAATATTAATATCGCGTAAAGTTTTTGTCAAGAAAATATTACATATACATTATTTATCATATTACATGTGATCACTCCACATTTCCCCATTTAACACGTGAGATTGTGTTCTTTTTCTCACTCTTGAAAACATCCGTTATGCGAGGAAAATTTTCCGCGATGAATGGACGTTAGAAACCCCGTATTGACCAAGCAGTTCGCGAGATTTTCAACTTCTGACGTTTCCCAGCAATCCAAGAATAGCGTGCCATAGTATAAGGCCGCCATAATTCACCTGGTTGATGGTATCATCTAGAATTTCATCTTCATATTTAGGACACGGTTGAAAAGCACTTTTAGGAACGAGCATTGCGAACCTGAGCACCATCCCTCGTGGTAGAAGGCGGCAATTTCCTTCCACTTTTGATAAACCTTGCGAATTAATGATTGCATTGCGATTATCCAGGTTGCCATGCGTAGTGCGTGGATCGTTTGAAAGGTGTTGAGGCATTCCAATCCCAAATACCTTGTTCGCATACAATCGCCGTTCACGCCCAGTCTGAAAGTGATTCATCATATCGCAGACATGCGGCTCATCATCCGCAACACAGCGGATACCGGATAGGATATATATTTGGGTTACCAGCTTGCAGGTCGCGTGTATGGAGCAAGTTTGCCTCTTCGATTCGATATCCACCAGTACGATAATGGACGATTGAGGGCACTCTGTAACCGCAATGCGGCATGTATCCGGGTTACATACATGGCACTCAGATTTGATGGAATAGCTTCGGTCGCCCGAATGTGTGTCTTGGTATTTCCTACGGCGGTCTCATTACTGGGTATACCTGGTTTTGATTAAGACATCCTGGATAGGCAAGCATAGAATGTCTGTGGGTTCAACTCCGACAGTTTCGCGAAATCGCCCTGGTGGGCGCTACGGAGTTGTGTGACTGCCATATTGCATATGTTGCGCAACGTTATCTATCGTAGATGGGCCACTTCAGTACCTACCTACGGAAGCAGATTTCATGCTTTGCGTTTGGCTCACGTGAGCCTAAGAGCAACACGTCTTAGCCGATTTCTCGCACTTTTTGGTCGTACAGGCTGCAGTGGCACATGTTCTTTGATGATTTTGAATATTGTTCAGTGGACATCCACGGTTTTCGTGAAGTCAGACAACCAATTAACCTTACGCAGGGTCACCAGTAAGACTAGTATATCAGTCCTCTTAAATGCTTATTAGCTTCCTGAGAGCAGTTCCAGCACGTATAATTACGAGTAAAATTCAACAGCACATCGATACCGTCGCCCAACACCAACAGATTGATGCAGTTTGTGTTAACTTTCGTCATTGGTATGATTGACGGCGTAAAATCCAGTTGAGACGATAAATTGTTTGGGAGCTACCTCATAGAGGTTTGTGTGTTTTGTTGGACCCACTTCTGAAGCTACACTGAAAAAGTTTACAGCCACGAAACCAGGTCCGCAAGATGCGGACAGAAGTTGGAAATCTTCACGAGGAAGGTAGAAATCTCCCGTAAAAAGGACATTTGAGCTACATAGCTAAAATGCGTTTTCATTGCTATTTGGCGTGGTGTTCAGAAAAGGATAGAAGACATCTACTGTGCACTTTATACCGCCGTCAGTTCTGAAAGA